AGGGAAAAATGGCCTGCGATTCTTCAGGGAAAGTGGAAGTTTACTTGTTTCTTTGGAGAAAAACAGACTATTTTTGAAAAATGTTTGCAGAAGCATGACTAATTATTAAAAATTAAAAGCAGCATTATGAAATTCTCCAGTGATACCCGTGTTCAGGTGTCCTTGTATAAAATGTATGGAGCTTAGAGTTTGTTCATTTTTTCAATTCAGAACATAAATAATTAGTGTTCTATCCATGACTAAGTATCTCAACAAATTTATCACCCTTACTTATAATAAATCCCACCTCAGCACAGATACTAATGTTTCTTTACCTTTGCCATAGTCAGTGGAGGTCTCTGTGGTGTTACAGCATACTTGTAATTTCAAAGTACTGTGCCTGTACACATATTTCTGGTTGTCTGTATCTCTAAACAGATTTTGGGGGATTTCCTGCTCTTGCAGACTCCTTATTGTCACAGAAAAGGATTTTTATCTGTCATTGGGAAGCTACTTATTTTGTTTATCTCTGTTTCCCTATCATTTTAACAGAATCTCAGAATTGATGATATTTTCATGGCATACAGCTGTGGATGTTTCCAACTGCTTTATGTTCTTTCAAATGCATCATCTATATCTGCATCTGTTAAAGCAGAGGTGGTTTCTTTCCTAGGAAGGATGAAGCTTTTTTTTATATATAACATTAATAGTTTTTAAATTTTACTGAGTCCTGTGCTATAATAATAATGCATATGTGTATATATATATATAAAAAAATATGGTCTCTTAGATAATATATATCAGAGCATTATTGTTTAGAAATTGTACTTCTTTTTTATCTCTCCTTTCCTTTTCCTTTCATTAGTCTCAGCTCTTGTGGAGTGTAATGTGAAGTACCTTCCTGTGATTCATCACTTTAAGTCACAGTGTTTAACCGGAAAGGAAGGCGACAGGTTGTGCTTAACTAGAAAGTTTGATTGAGAGATCTTTTGCTTCCCTACTGGATGGAGCCCTAATTATATCTGTGATTTGGTTGTAGAGGAGGATGGGTAAAATAAAATACTGAATCATAAATAACAGCGGACTTGTATTTATTTTGCTTTCTCATACTGAATTAATAATCTCTAAATTTGTAAGAAAAAGGAAACAGTACTTCATAGATTTAAAACATTGTATGTATTTTAATTTTCTTGAAACTTTATATGTGTTGATGCATTGAGTAGCCAGTAAATGTGAAATTGTATGTGTGCTGCCATTTATCAAAAGATTGTTTTTCACTTTGAGGACAATTAACAGCAGCAACCTTGTTAAACTTCCTGCCTTAGTATCAATCAATAAGCACTCATTCCCAAAAGCTGGACTTCTGAAAGGTCTAGCATTATATAAAAAGCTGACATTTCAAAGACTGACTTTCATGCCCAATCAAGAATGTAACCATCTTACATTTAAATCCTCTTGCATTCATGTATTTTGGCATTTTTATGCCAAAGCAGTACATTTTGTGAGGCTACCAGCAAGCAGAAGAGAACAGTTTAAGGACTTATTCTCACTTTATTTGGTTCTACCTGTATTTATACCATCAGCTGCTTCCTTTCCTTATTTCAGTGATCAGCAATTGCTGAGCTCTGTGAAGGTTGCAGACTGCTTGCACAAGGAGATTTCAAAGTGGGGCAGAAACCAAAGAGGATGTGTAGGGTGTATACAGAAAGGTTATATAACCTCACACCGTCTGGAGTTGTTCCTTTGCTGCACTTTAAAGGCTTGATGGTTCAGCGGTGGCTTGTGGAGAGTGTGAGCTTGTTGTCTTTAAGTGTGTTGAACTGTCTTACATTCTGAACAAGATGAGAGATGGAATCTTGTGGTGCAGTGTACCTGAAGATGAGAAAACTTAAAACCAGCAAAAGTTGAATCCCTGTCCATATTTTGGTATAAAGTAAATACATTAAATAATAGATTTATTATCTGAGCAGAACAAGTTGGAAGAAGCAAAACAATTGAGTAGTTGAAAGAAGTTTTTTCCTTTATTTTATAGAAGAAAACATGACAGCAGTCTATTAAGACTTTATAAAGTTCTGGTGCAGCAAGAAAGGAGTGTTGCCGTATCATTTCTTGTGGTAATAAATTTAAATGGTCTGGTTGTGATTAGAATGCTAATCAGGAAGGAAGCAGAAGTCTGTCCTTTTTTCATAAAGAGGTATAAAAAAGGTTACACACTTCAAAATGTAGAAAAGACAGAAATTAAAAGCTTAAATAACTGCAAACAGCAGGGTACGTCAGTAATGGAAGGACTTCTTAAATGACTCTGACAGCTTTTGCAGGTGCACGTACTCTGTCACTTTGCCTAGTGGAACATTGAAAAAGTTTTATGGCTTTCCTTTTGGAATTTATTAAGGGTTTCTTTCTTTCTTTTTCTTTCTTTGCAAAGTAGTCTGGACATACCCCTCCCTTGCAGTCGTTTTTATTACAGCTCCTAGAGGAAAGTCACCTATTCAAAAACATATGTTGCTTGTTGTCTCCGTGGCTAGCTCACAGAGTTGTAAATGCTGGAGAAGGTTGTTATTTACAGCCAAATATTTTCCTTTCCTTCCCCCCATTTTTTTTCTTTGTATGTAAATCCCATTTAATTTAATTTAGTTTTTGAAAGTCTCCCTGTATAATTTTATAATATAGCCCTGAACATTTAAATTGGTAACAAAAATATTTTTTCAAATACAGATTCTGACCATCAGGAACTAGAAGTTCTTGGTTTTGGGGGAGATTTTAGGTTTATCAACATGCTCTGTTACATTCCTTTATATGATATTCTTGCTTTCATTAACACTCTTGCATAATACTGTCTGTAGGTGCTCTGAGGGGCCACTGCTATGCCTGTGATGTTTGCTGAATCTAATGAATTTTATTCAGTTCCTGTTTCTCAAAGACACAACTTTTTTTCCTTTTTTCTTTTTTTTTCCCCCCTTTTTTCTTTTTTTCTTGAAGCTTGATATCTGTGCTCTTTGAAATATTATTTATTATTTCAACAAATCAGCAAGTGTCATATTGTAGGATTTTATTCCATTGACAGAGTTAATTCATGTACAGATGAAGTGTCGGTTTTCGTTTTGTTTTCTGAAACTTCTCAACGTTTTTATAGAACCTTCTTCCCTGCAAAATCTCTCATTTATGTTAGTAGAAGTAAATGTGATGGCATCATCTAATTTTGCTGCAGATTGGAGGGTTTTGCCCTCCAAGAGCTAGTTCCAGGTTGGAGTTTTAATTACAGTGAACGTCATGTCAGAATTTTCTTGGGAAAGTGGTTAATTTCCAGTGTTATAGAAACAAAGTATTTTAATTGTCCCAGTGAAGATAAATACTTAAAGCAGCAACTTATAAACTGAAAACAGTGAATGTAGTTGTGACAGTGATCAGTAAAATAACTAATTAGGAGTATCAGTTAAGACAGAGTGGTTAACCTCTCTTTAGTTACAAGCTGGAAAATGATAGATTGCAACAGTGATGGGAATGACAAAAAGAATTCACAAAACTGTGAAAGAGTTCGAAACAGTTTTTCTCTGCCTTCCATCCTATACCTTTTGCTCAGTATGAATCTTAGGGTTTTTTCATGGGCTTTAATATGCTAATAATTCTCTCATTTTCTATCAACTATTAGTTGGTTTAACACACTAAGAACCATATGTTTCCTCTTTGAGAGTGAAGACCTATGGAAAGTGTTATCAAAACTTGCTGCTTTAATTAAATCCTCTCTTGTTGAACAGGAACAAATGTCTCAGTCTATAAAGAGTGAACACTGAGACATTCCTAAAAATAATGGGGGGGGGGAAGTTACAGAGAGCATCCTGGTCTATGTAGAACACTGACAACATCTGTAATAGGTAAGGTCCTGAAATCCTCGCAGTACAAGGTTTTCAAGCTCCTTGTAGTCTGAAATTAAGGCCGTATTTCTTCCCCATCAGGGGCTTGTTGCACATTTAGGCATTTGGTGAACTGCGTGATGAGATGTGGGCAGTAGCGCTTCTTGTTACTCGCTTGATTTTCCTCAAAGTCAGCTAGCACTGTTTTCCCTTTGCACAAATTCTATCCATATGTCTTTAAATTATGATGGTTGTCCAAGGTTCAGAATCTCTTCAGTGGATTGATTGCCTATATAGTTAATCTTTGCAGGTTTTTGATACTTAACAGGTAGAACAGATGTATAGCCCTTAAGACAGTCATTTGCGAAGCCCAAGTGACTAAAATTCCTGATTTAAATGTTCTGGTCAAGAGAGAGAATTTTTCCCAATTATCGTAGAATTCTTTAGCCTGGTTTTATTTGCTAAATAATAATGGGATATAACAGGCTAGTGAGTAGTCCATAGGGTAGTGTGTGAATTTGCAACACACTAGCTAGTCCACACAAAGTCTCCATGGGAAGCTCTGAGTGTACACTGAGTTAGCTGTACTCTACAGTAAATTATCCTGCACAAAGGCATGTTTAGTGCAAAGTTTTTGAGCTGGCATATTACTTACTCTGCAGTCCTGTATAACACCTTAACATAAACCTACCTATGTAAAGAGACTCCTGACTTCTCTTGTATTTGCTTCTTCAAAAGTCCATTTTTCTTTGTGCTCAGTAGATCACATCAACCAAAGCTTGGCAAATGTTTCTATCAGAAAGTACTAAACCACAGTGCTTTTTGTGATATACTTTCAAGAAAGGGTAGCTAGTAGACTTGAGTGATGCTTTTCCTCCAGTAGCCAGTTTTCTCCTAATCAATGCTTTGCATAAATAATAAGACATGCCAGGCTTTGCATAAATAATGAGGCCCTCCATAGACCACGAAGAAAAATAGTTCTCTTTAATTGCTGATGCTTGAGGACTTCACATCCTCTTTAACAACCTTTACAAGACTTGATCGATATGTGGTTTTACTCATCAAGTGCTCAGGGAGTCTTAATAGTAAAGTGGCAGCTAGTCTCCAAATAAGTCGTGCTGAAATAGAAAAAAACAAACAAAATTATAATGCTAATTTTTTGTCCTCCAGACTCGTTTCAACCAGCATCTCAGTAACCAGGATTTTGCCTTGGATGAAGATGATGATGATGAAATGGAGAGAACGAGCAAGTAAGAAGCCTGTTTAGATGTGTATGTATGTATAGGAGAGAGTGTAACTAGTGTTATTCAGCAAAGTCAAGTTCAAGTGATACATTTTGCTCCTATCGAGGCTGCTAGTTTTATTCTTGATCTAGATGATGTCAAGTAGTTTAGGATTTAAATCTGCTTTAAAAACAAGGACAGGTTATTAATGTATTTTCATTATTTCTAGTGTCTAGAAGAGCTTGTTGTAATCTACAGTCTTCACAGACTCCAGATAAAAGGACTACATACACAAAAAACTAGTGAAATAATATTCCTAAACATGGTGGGCAGTAACCTCAGCTAATCTGTTCTTTAAGGCTTGTGTTGTGGTTATGACAATGAGAACTTTTTTGAAGGGTCTGAAAGAGAAATAATGCCTTGTGAGTTTTATATCAAGCTCTTCCTATATGAGAACTAGAAAAAAATCATAAGATGAAACTTAGGCTGCATTGAGGCATTTTCTGAGTTCATGAGTTGATTTTGGATAATGAACCAGATAGGTTTTGATATAAACCAGAAAGGATGCTGAAAGCAAAATCAAGCAGCTTGAGCTGTGATGTACTAGGGAAGAGGGAACTACTGAAGTGTTAAAAGGATATAATCAAAACAGGAAGCCATGGGAAATACCCGTTGTAGCAGTATTCTGGATAGACAGAGATAGGAAAAGACTGTGGTAGAATGGGGGTCTGAGGTAAGGGTATTGCAATGAGCAAGAGAGAATTTAAGAGACAAAAGCACCAGTTCTCAGTGCAGATAAGCAGTACTCCAGTAAGTCTGGTCATGTGATGGAAGAAGGGTTTCAGTATGAGAGTCTTTCCACTAGAACAAAGTGTGTGGTTAGGCCAGGAGACAGCTAATGGTGAGTGCATCTCCACTGATACCATGAAGCTATGTTTAGCAAAATCCTTGAGTAGGAAGAAATTCCAGCTTATTGTTCCCTTTCAAAAGTCTTGAAATGCATTCTCCTTTCAGATGTGGCCATAATAAAATTACTTTTAGGTTCCTGTCTGATGAAAAAGTTTTTGTTTTCAGATTATCATCAGAAGACAGCGAAGAAGCTTCTGCTTACTTTTATGATAGTGATGGTTCTGGTGAAACAGGAATAATTCCTCAGCATCAAGGAGAAATGGACTTGCTTGGGGAGATCCTGGACACACTGAGCACACACAGTTCAGATCAAGGAAAACTCTCAGGAGCAAAGAGCCTGGATTTCTTTAGGTCAATGGATGACATTGATTACAAGACTGCGGTTAGTCTTCTGCTTTCATTTGAAAAATAACCCAAGTCCATTTATAGTGGAATGTTGCATTTGTGGAATCAACAACATGCAGATCAGACACAGCAGCATAGTCCTTAGAACTGCTAGTGTGTCTTCTTAGGGCTACGTAACAGTACTCTCGTGGTGGTCACTGCATGATGGTTTTTCACCAGCCAAGTAATTGGTTACACCTTTGTCCAGTTTACTAGGTCATCTTGGAATGATTTACATATGTAACCGTGAATTGTATAATAATTTACTTAATCAAATAGTTTAGTATTACATTTACCTGTTGAACCTGATATGGCTGGAGAAGGATTTAGTCTTCTTTTTATGCAGTTTAGAAGGTATTTCCATTTTCACTTCACAGCCTTTAACTAGGTGTAGTGATATGGTGATGTTTCCATCTTAAGTCATGGGATCCATCTGGCAATTGCACCCAAAACACTGCTAAAATAGCACTGCAGAGCTTTCTAAGAGGGCTCCTTGTTGCTTTTTTAGGTAGGGTTGTGTAGGTCCTTTAGTGTAAACAAACTGCTTGCCTACAATTTTAAAACCCTCACCAAGTCACTGCTGTGATATTAGCCAAAACAATATTAGTGTTTTTGAATTCCAGTGCATATCAACTGTCCAACATTTACTTTTGCTGAAAGGGATCCTGTAGTAGAGGATTTGTTACTGGAGCAGCAAATACTGATGCAAATACTTATAAAGCTTGTAAAATTTTATATTATGAGTGTCACACGGGTTAGATTAATAAAATGCCCATTTTTGTTTGGCCAAAAACTTTAATATTGAAAGTTGGTATAATTAATTACTGAAGCAAAGAGGAAATGCCATCTGGTTTTAGTTTTAGTCCCCCACCTTCTAATATTATGGGTACAAACCAGAAAAGTGTTCACTGTCAAAACTTCTTGTGCAAGACTGAATAGACAGGGAGACAGAAATCCTTCCTCTGTACCAAAGGTGATCATTAGGATAAGAGACAATGTTCTGGTGAGGAAGTGTAAAAACATTTGTTCTCACATGATGTCTGGGATTGTTGTTTTGTAACACTGAACCTCAAAGGGGATCCATGGTTTAGGAACACATAATATCCCTTACAGTACTTTTGTTTCAGAAATGCCAGTGTAGAGACATTTCTTGTCTCTACATTAACTAAAAAAATGTTTTTTCTTTCAGAACAAGTCAAATGCACCTAGTGAGAGCAACCTTACCCTGCTCTGCAGCAGTGCTAATGATCAAGCAGAGTGGAACCTCGGCCAGGATGACAGTGTCCTCCATGGGAAGCAGCTCCCTCCATCACCAAGGAAGCAAGTTTCTTCTGGTGGCCAGAGAGAATCTCTCACAAGGCTGGAAGAAGAAAAGAGTGACAAAACCCTTATTACTGACAGGATGGACACCACTAGTATGACATCCCCATCTCCAGTACGACCAAGTGCTCAGTTTACTTCCCTAGAAAGTTTCAAAGCAGGCTATTCTTCCTGTAAGTATGCAAAGCAGAACGAAACACTAAGCAATACCTCAGAAGATCAGCTCCCAGGAAGTCTTGCTCAACATCCATCCGTTCTGGTCCCTTGGGAGAAAGATGGGAAGGAAGATGAAAGTCCGGAAGAGGGTGGTCTTCTTCAAGAAGTGGTGTCATTATGTAAACTGAGTTCTGCTTTTCACTATGGTTTAAATATTTCAAAGGATAGCTTGTCCAGCAGTAGCAGTGGAAATAAAACGTAAGAAAACTATGAGAAGAGAAACTTGACTCCCATTAGAAGTTAAAGGGAGACTACTCAGGACTCCATATAACTCCATGTAACATGATAACCAAAAGATGAAAAAGGAATAAGAGATCTAAGTTATGAAAATAATTCTCTTCAGTTGAGTATGCATTTTCTGCCATTGGGACATCTGCTTCTACGTTTACTCAGTTCATTTGTTGGCTGTAGTTAGGTCCAAAAAATGAAACTAAATATATGAATGCACTCTTAAATCAGGTACTAGTTAGTCTCTGTGTTAAAAATACAGCAAGTGTATGGTGCTTCCTAGCATTTGCTTCCTCTAAGCAGCAGTAAAAGTGTCGCCTAACAGGTAACCAGGTTTTGAAGGTACTCTGTTAATCCCAGTAAGCGTGAAATGAACCAAGCCATCTGATTTGTCTGAAATGTACAAATGTTAATATTTGTAATGAATAATAATTGCCTTAATCTTTTGAGAAGAGGTTTAACTATCTTAGAAGATGAATGCAAATCTACAAAACAGCAATAATGATTTTCCATGGCAGGAATTTGCTTCAGCAAAGGTGGGGGGGGAAGGAGACTTTTTTTAGAATAAGGAATTTCTTGTGAATATAACTTGGAACTTACTCCAAACTAAAACTGTGGCTCTGTCTTCCAGACTTCAAAAAGGTAGCGCATGGTTTTCTCTCTTCTATAAAGTACATGAAGCGCTGGATTATAATGTGACATTTATCAACTTCTGTTTACAACTAAGACACTTTAAAGACATATTATCTGGTTTCCCTAGGTAGACTATTTCACCTAAAAATTTCAGAAAGGAAAGTGTAAGTGGAACTGATAGATTTCTATTATATTTTATTTTCTGCAGTTTAATAGTTGGAAAACTGATTTGTGCCTAATTTGTAACACTTGAAAACTAAAATTACAGATTCAATTTGATTCTGCATATATCCAACTCTCATTTTAGCCAAGTTGAACAACCAAAAATCTCTTTCTAAATTAAGTGAAGGAGAATAAATGGACTTGATGTATATTGTATTTAGAACAAGAATTTTTGCTTCTTCTGGCAGTGTTCCTGGGGAATATTTGGATATTAAAAGTGAAAATTTTTGATTCTGTACGGAGCAGCTCTTTTATGTTTTTTTTTTAGTTTTATTCCTCTTTTCTTTTTCCACCTCACCATACATACCTTGGCCTCCACGCTGGCTCAGGATAGAGAAACCGTTAGATCAGTTTCAACAGATTGGAATTGTCAGCCTTGAAGGATATTTGTGGTGCAATTGGTAGAAGTAGCATGTGAGTATAAAATGAACTCTGCCGCGGTCCGAAGAGGGGATGGGACACGAGGAAGGGTGCAAGTAGAATGCCGTCTTCACGTGTGCCCCCTGTCTTTTTTCAGCTCGGGCGGGGAAAGGGCCAGAACATAGGGCGGAGCATGAGACAGACAAGCAGGGGAACAAACCAAGATAGGGACATGGACAAAAGGGGGAGGAGTGGAGGAAGCAGGGAGCAGGCAAACTCATGGCAAGCCTGGGCATGACCAGGTTGTGCACTGTGTAGTGTGAATACAATGAAACCACATAATAACAGTAAAGTCCATATGATAACTGTAAGGTCCATATAATAAAGTCCTGCCAATTGCTGTATGCTTTTCTCCACGCCTGGAACTGCTCCCATCCTGAATCTTGCTCCTTCACAGAACTCTACCTGAGAAGAATGTTCTCCTGCTCTTCTAAGTTACGTTAGAAACCTTTTTTCTTTTGTTCCATCTTTGGCACAAGCGACTTGTCTTAATCTCAGCATAGGCTTGAGCGAGTGCATTCATGGGGTCAGTGTTTGGATCAGATTGTGCTTTAGTACCTTAATAGCAATTTGTAGCAAAGTTTAATATCAGTTGCCTCATTGAGATTTATTAATTAATTTTCCTTCAAGCTAGCACAAATGGAAGGGGTTTTTTGGCTGCTTTGTTACAAGGTAGCTGACCTAAGGGAATTGCTGCATATCATTACAGAGTTTGAAACTCCACCAAAGATGCAGTAGAGTGAGACCTGGGAGTTGTTAGTGCATAAGTTTCAGCTTGTTCCAGAAAGAGAAGGTCTGGGCCAGTACTTACACTGAGGATGAGCCTCCAGAATTAATTTTTTTAATCAGTGCAACAAAGCTAAAAGGTTGTAAAAGTGCAAATCTTACAGAAATACCTGTTTCTGATTAGAACATGAACATTCCAGAGAGCATCTGCAATCTGCATTGCTGGAGAATCTCAGGATTCCAGAGTTGTATATTCAGAGGTCTGTACTCCAGAGTATTTCTTTATACTTTGGTTTCCTCTTATGTATCAACAAAGTATGTTATTTGGCAAAATGTTTCGCACTATTAAAAATTGAAAGTATCATAAAAAATAATTAAAATCTTTAAGCTTTCCAGGTGGGTCAGACCAGGTGTCTCCAGTGCTGTTCAGATGACAAAGCTGCAGAGCATCCTTGTTTAGAGCTGTTATTAACGACTTGGTAGAGGGCATTCTTCTCCTTTACTGGTACTAAATGTTGTCCAAACATAGTGCTGCAGTTGTGTCTAAGAGGAGACAGGCAACACAAAGGTTTTTGTTCTTGTAACACTTCTCACTCATTCTTATTCATGTCCTTGGTGTTTTGTAGATGAGAATTTCAAGATTTACCTTTTCTTCTCCTTTGCATCTGATACGATGTTTCTGTCCATGGTTGCATCTAAGTTGTTTTATTTTCTTCATTTATTAAAGATAGTAAACAGTATTAATCTCTTTAGGATGAAAATAGAGAAAAAAATCAGAAATTATGGCCATCATTACTTTCAAAACCATCAAAAACCTAAGTCCAGGAATGCTGCCAGAAAGTGGTTTTAAAAAATGGCACTCTGGTAGAGGCATAAATTTTACTGGCTTTCCATAGGGTTAGGCACTGAACAAATAATCACGTAGGTTGTCCCATTCTCGGCTGCCAATACTCTTACAGTTGTTATAAAGATCATAAAATTGAAAGTTTGGTAGTGGAATCTTTTGAAATTGGGGTGTTGTAGCAGTAATTCACTGTTACATTGAGTGAAAATGTAGGCTGAAAAGAAGTAAACAGATAAAAGATGGAAGGTAAAATTCAACTTAGAATTATTTTTACTTCAGTCAAAATGGTTCTGTGCTTATGCTACATTGTTTCCTTACTATTTACAAAACCCATAGTATGTTTACAATTGTTAAATAGTAAGTCTTTTTTGGTTTTGAACCTTGTATGGGTTCAGAAATAACTTAGTTTTATATGTGTGTTGATTTTAACTGTAGGTACATTTTTTACTTTGTAATATACAGAATCTTTTCCACTTACTATCAGTGATCTTTTAAAAAGGCTAATATTTGTGCCTTATTTAAATAGAATTACCAGTTACCAAATACATAAGAGTCCAAACTGATATTTCTGGTTCAACATTCTTGTTCTCTGTCCTTGTGATAATATAAAATTGTTTATTGGCTACATATACTGTATTTTTATTACCACATTGGGTTCTATATTAAGATAAATTGTCCAGGTCCAGTACTTTTGGCAAGTTTTATACTTGTATGCTTTTTATTTGTGGAAATCCTTCTAGTGTCTTTGAAAATCATCAACATTCATCACCAGCTGCTGGTGAGAACTGAATTCTGCTCGGTCAGAGCTCCTGTGGTCTTCTTCAGAGGCATCTCTTTTCTTCAGGATCTCAAAAATCTTCCCATTTCTCCTGTTTCAGGGAGATACCAGGTCATTTGATAAGCTGTTACACATAGGAACAAATTTCTGATGTAGAAAGTCAAACTAGGACTTGAAATGAATCTTTTTGAGTTTGTTTTGCATAGACGTCTGCCTAAAATGAGCCGTATCACTCATCTGGTTTGGGAGGAAGAAGTAAGGGCAGTAGAAGGAGAAAGGGATTCCTGGGTTGTTCCAGTGTGGTGTGGTGAAGCAAAACCTTGGGAGTCCACAGGAGGGATAGTAACTTTGAAGAAATCCAGATTTCAGTTCTAGCTCAGTTAGTGTGATTCCAGCCCAGACATATAGGCAAAAGTAATATTGCCTATAGAATTAATCCCCTGTGGGATTTGCAGGACGGATAACGTGTTGTCACAGTCAGAGCCTTCCCATTCATGCGAATAGAGATGTAACGTGGAACACAGTGCGGATATTCAGGGAAGGACAGCACTGTGGATGCAGAGGTGATCCCTACCCACCCTCTATGCATGCAGAGGGCAGTCTGTGTAGAATAGGCAGTGGTTTGCTCTTCCATCTCACATATTTGAGCATCATGTAGTTCTGAAAAATAGACTTGTTCTGAAGAAAAAATGTAGTCGTAGGAGTTGTCATAGAACTTGTTGACTGAAGCCTTCACTGTCATTTAGCATTTCAGTGGTGCTGCTGCTGTTGGGGTGGGATCATCAGGAACTCTCGGCACTGGCTGAAGTCCCCTCTCAGGCATTGTAACACAGACTTCAGGCAGAGTTTTAGACAAATGCTGAGTGCTTCTGAAAATCCCACCCAATCTATTAGAAGAGTGTTTTAGACCTCACAAATCTGTTTTAGATGTCTTTTGAGGTTTTAGGATGAGCTAGTTTACAACCTTGTGTTCTTGTAACCAATGTAAAGTCTAGGCAGAAGAACAGTTAAGCCAGGTTTTTAAAAAAGCTTCTGTTTATCCACCTACATTCAATCATATTCAGTCCTACAGAACAATCTTTTGTTGGTGCAGCTTTCTAATGGAATTGCTAGGAGCATCTAAACTTTTCTCTATGCATGTAAAATAATTAAAGAAATATTTCATGCAATAATCCAAGTGCCAGCATGAGGCCCTTTTGCAAATACCCCCCTGTGTAATACTGGCTGTACCCTGTCCTGCAGAAAGGAGCCCCTAACCATGGACTTCCCTGACTCTGCAGGGAGAAGTCAAGGGTGGTCTTTATTTCTCCCTTGGCACCACCTTCACACCAGGTGCTGTGAGACTCCAGCCAGTGTGTTCCCAACAGCCTGAAATTTTGAGCTAAACAAGTGTGGCTAAAAAAAATAATGCCTGAGGCAACCAGCTTCCTTATTGCAAAGCTCAGGGTGGTGAGGGCTGTCTGTTCCCACGGTATTGCAGTAAATCTTTGGAGAATGAATGTAGAAATAAATGCACCAGCAAAACCAGTATGAATGGTGATTTGACTTGTCTTCAGTAACTTCTTTGCTGCTATTAGGTGTGTATGTTGTAGCCAATTGCTGTTTAC